ACAGAACAGTTTGAGATTGCTTTATCATAATATTTTATAAATAAAACAGCAGTTTAAAATTCCATATCCATAATTGAATATCTAATACTTTCTCTTGAAAAGAGGACACAGATGTTGATCATAAGACAATAAAACATTCTCATGAAGACAATAAAAATATTATCCATGATAGAATATTTTCCTTGATGGGATTAATGATGAGACATAACTACAATAAAAATACATATTTCTCTCCTCAAATTCAGAACTACTGTTGGAGGACAGCAAATGATTTTAAGGTGCAGTGGTGTTTGTGTATGTGTTTGGAGTAAAAAAATAGAGAGACCTGGCTCAGATATTACCTAGTGATCTGGTAGAAAGTCCAGTTTTCTCAACCTGCTGTTGTGTCCCTTATGACCTAACTTTGCTCATTTTTCTCATTTGTAAAACAGGAGAATAAGGAACCACACCTGTTAAGAGTTTCAGTAAAAATTAAATAACAATGCACATATAGCAGCAGGCAGATTCCAGGTGTGTAATATGGGCTTTATCTACATGGCCTCAGTCGCAATCAGTGTTATTTATCATGAAGGTCCTTCGCTCTAACTCACATAGACTTTTCAGAATCTGCTAAGTTGTCTTTTAAAAACTGCTTGCCCAATGTGCTAACAATAACTGTGAAAGAAGGAAATCTCACCATTAACTTCTATCTTGGATTCATAAAGCAGTAGGAAGGCATATGGTATTATATGAACATTAAATAATAACATGTTCTACTTTGCTTACCAAATTAAATCAAGTTGCAAATGCAGCATATGCAGAATAACTATGACTGCTCATAAGAAGCAAACAATTTTGATGTTCAGAATTTGTATTTTTTTACATAAAATTGTGTAGAACTATGTACCAATGGAATAATGGCGCAAAAACTTGCAACATGGATGAAAATATTTTTAAATACTCGTCTTTATATTAGAAATATAAATTAGTGATTCCACTATTTTACTGTGTTAATTTACTTGAGTTACTTAAATTCTCTGTTTCTGGCTTTCTTTTTCTGTGAAACTGACATAATAATGACACCTCACAGATACGTGGTGAGACAAATTAACTTATAAATAAAATATACAGAGCAGTGCTCGTGGAGAGTAAGCACCTGATGTTAGCCGTGACTATTATTTTTTCCTACACACTGTTAGTTTCCACGTGTACGTTATCCTACAAATATAAATTGGCCACTTTACAGTATCATCCACTCTCCTTTCAACTTTGTCAACAAAAAAAAGGTTTGCAGTCAAAATAAAGTGGTATCTGAGCAATTATGATGATATCTCACTTACAGGAGTCTCTCTCTTTTACAGTGGGAATTGGAGGCAAATAAAACAAACCCAAGATTTACTGAAATAGCTATTTGTAAAATATGTGTGTTTACTCAGACCCATGTTTTACAGACATTTCTAAAACCATTCTCTGTTTTGAGGCTTTCTGCTGATAGTTAATAAAAGGAAATTCTTTTAAACATTCCATGTTCTAGGAATTGAGCCAGGGACCTATAGGCCTAGAGTGCATAGATCTAGAGGCTGTTTTATTTAGTTTCTGCAAATCATTATGGCAAAGGTTGCAAGTTTTCTATTACACAAATTTAATGTATTAAAACAAGAAAAATCTATTTTCTTACATCAGTGGCCATAAGAATTCCACAATCAGTCTCATTGGACTAAAATCTAGATGCCAGCGAGGCTTCATTCCTTCCAAATGCTCTGGGGGTAAATCTGTTTCCTTGCCTGTTTCAATTTCTAGAAATAGACTATATTTTTCAGCTTGTAGTCCCATCCTTCATCAATTTGCTTCTATCCTTATATCTTTTCTTCTTACTCTGATCCCTCTCGCTCCTGTGATTACACTAGACCCACCTGGATGATCCATGATATCATATCAAGATCCTTCATTTAATCACATCTGTTCAGTCCTTTTAACCTGCAAAGTCCTTTTAACTCACAAATCCTGGGGCTAGGCCAGAATATCTCAGAGGGGCAAAGGGTCATTTTTCAGTCTGACACAGATATATACTTGTCTACTCATTTTGCTGATAAGAAAAAAAAATGCAACAATTAATTACCCCTAATACATTGAGAAAAAAAATCATCATAGATATTGAATAATTTATTTGAACTCACAAAACCAAAAAGTGTACACCAACACACCAATGCAGGTTCTTCTGACTCTAATCCTGTTTCCACTACACTGTTCTGTCCCAAAAGAGGAAAAAAGATGAAGGAAGAACTCCTTGCTTAAGGGCAGATTATTGTATTTTCCTTATAAGTTAAAATATTTATTAAATATTTATTTAATACTCAACTACCATAAGAATCAATTTTAGGTCTTGAGAAGAAATAGGGATCAGAACTTGTCAGTCCGTGAACAACCCTCACATTCCCAAATATTTAAGTATCTGTAAGTCCTAAATCTTTAGTAAAGTTATGATCAAATTCAACTACCTAATTGACAGCTCCACTTTGATGTTCTATAAACTTGTTCTATTTGGCACATATGGAAGTGAAATTTCCTTTTTTTTTTTTTTTCTTACAGCTTTGTTTAATTCTTTAGCTTCTCCATTCCAGGAAATGGCACTACCCTATCTCCCCTCAAACACCACCAACAGCTAATCAGTAATCAAATGCCTTACATCAGTCTTGAAAATATCTTAATTCCATTTAATTCTCCTTATATTCATTACCCCGACTGCTAACTGCTATCTTCATTTCCATTCTTGTTTGGCCTAATCTAATCTCTATATAAACTGACTTGAACTTTTCAGAACATATATTGGATTATGTCTCTTCCTTGGTAGAATTCTTGATAGCTACCTATTACCACATTTTTAATAAAATCTAAACCTTTCATGTTATACAGGATTACCACACATCTTGCAAAATTTAGAACATTTGTGTATCAGTTGCCATGGCATAACAGTAGTGGAGCTTCTTTCATTCCTAAAGTTGCGCCATTTGGGTGACAAATTACATGTTCACTTTATCTACAGAGTCTACATAATCTTTCCTTGGACTTAAATGTGCTTGCCATAGCTAAAATCTTCTTCCTCAAGATACAATGAGATCTTACCCTAAGCTCTCCAAAATTTGATGACAGTGTTTAATCCCATACTTTATTGTTCTGTTTGTTCAATGTCTGTTCACGCCATGAGGGTAAATGAAAAGAAATAGGTACATGTCCATGCTGCTGCTTAGTTTTAGTTCCTGTAACATGGTAGATGTCCATGAATATTTATTGAAGAATTAATCACTAAATAAGTTTGCCATACAATCAAAGAGTTATGAAAACACACAGTAAAACATTTAAATAATAAATATGTACTCAATATAAAAAAAAAGGCATACAGAAAAGGAAGAAGTTACTTCTGTTTGGAGACAAAAAGTTTGACTAGGGAAATTCTCTTAAGAAGAGGAAGCCCAATAAATCTTGATGGATGAAAAAGATCATGTTTCTTGAATCAAGAAACTATGAGAAAAGACTCCTAAGTAGAAGGAATGGTATTTGCAAAGGCTGAAATGTTTAAATCAGTGTAATTATTCAGAGAATTCAAAGAACTTTCCACTATTAGAATATACAGTCTTGCATAAATGATATATTAATACCATGAATTCCTGAGGACAAAACCTAAATTATGAAGAACACTGTAGGAACTAGATGAGAGCTGAGAAATATGAAACTTAGTTTTGTTTTCAATTACAGTGATGATTTGAGAATTTCTATTGCATGTTTGGCTCACCTTATAAATTACAGGAGTTTTAGAGAATTAAGTCAGTTTTGAAGACATAGTTCAAAGTTCATTATCATAAAGAAACATTTAAGAATTTAACATAAAATACTCACAAAATTATAACACATTGTCATAGAAACCATATTAAGAATTACAGTACATAAAACTGAACAAGGATTTTCCTTCAAATAACATTTTTGGGTTTGCATTTGAAGAGTTATCTCAGATTACTGCTTTGGCTAATGTATTTTTCTTCATTAGATTTTAAAAAAGGCATATGTTAGAGATACTAACGTAATATTGGCATTTATATTATACAAATGCAAAGGTAAACATATCTGTAGAATTTCCAAGCATGAAGTCATACTTTGATGTAAACGAGAATCAAATAGTAAATTAAAGCATATCTAGAAGGAGAACATTTTCAAAAATTATTCTTAGTATAGATAATCATTAATGGTTTGCTTGACCATGGGAAAAATAGACCTGAATTTCTACATTGATAGACAGCAGAACATAAGTGCTTTGCTTGGCTCCTATAGTACTTCAAAGGTTTGAGCCAAGATTTAAATTTGAAGAACATATAAAATATCTAGTCCTGGTCTCTTTTGAAATATTAGATCATTGTGAGAAAGACCACAGTGATGAGTAGCTGTTCTTGAGTTCACCACAGAGCTACCACCCCCCATCACCAAGGAACTAAGATCCAGGTCACTTCCTTTATATAGGAGACTTTATGCTATACCAAAAATAAATGCCAGCCATTAAAGACCAATTGGGAATTATCAAAGTACCTAGGAAAATCTTTATAATGTGATCATTTGCAAATACTGAAAATAATGCACATGATATGTGTGGACTTTCAATTAAATCATCTAAAAATTGAATGATTCAGACATGCAATAATTTTTACATGAATTTTGTTTGTTAACTAACAATACAAAATCAAACAAAATGCCAAATAAATCCAGTATAAATTTTTTTTCTTCTGATCTGGTAGCTCTTCATTTTAACTTTGGGTCAATATAGCAGAGTAGTACAATAATCCAAAAATAAAATAAATCATGAATTTGATCTTTGGTTTGAATGTAAATAATTCCCTATATGTTCCAATATCATAAATATAATTTATTTTATTTAAACAGACTGAAGGACTTGACATGTCTTCAATATTCAAATGTCCTAGATTAGGGGATCTAAAACCGAAAAGCCATTGCTATGAAAAATGATGGGCACTTACCTTAGCTATCTGGACACACCAGTTGAGCAGCAACTGTGATCCAATGTTATCCTTGTGTTCATGGACATAATCCAACAGACAGCCATGGGGCATAAGCTGTGTAACCAATTGGATGGTTGGGCTCAGACACACACCCAACAACCGGACTAAGTGCGGATGATCCATGCTTGCCATGATCAGAGCTTCCTGTAGAAAAAACATAACACCATCATTTCAACCCAAAGTTCTTTAACAATTATAGTTACTTGCTGTACTAATAGTACTGATAATGATTTTTAAAATGTACTCAATTGAATCAATTGAAATGGAATCAATTAAAAAAATGAAAAGGCATTACTGCAGACATATTCTTAATGTGATTTAATTCAAGTGAAATTAAATGAAAAACAAAGACTGTATATTTATTAAAATTGAAGCTGTTATAGGATAATTGCACATAAAACTAATATTTTCTCTTTGAAATATAGACTATGTTAGATTTTACTTACTGCAAAAAAATTGAAGCTGAAACCTATCATATTACTGGTTTTAACCTTTGATATTTGGTTCTTAGTAAATAAAATCTGTATAAATGAAGTTATTTGCAGGTAGAGTAGGATAACCCAAGTCTAACTCATTCAGTACTAGTGTGAATTTAAGGCACCATACACATTTATAATTTATAAATTATAAAACTTACACAAATGTAAACAATATTACCCACTGTGATGTATTCTTCATAGAAACACAAAATTTGAGAGCTAGGTAAGACTATAAAAACTTGGGTGTGACATCTGAGTCATACACAGTGTTGTAAACTATTGTGGCATCAAAAAGTGCAATTTAAAAAATTTAAATTATAAGTTTTTTTTGTTTTTTAAAGATTTATTTATTTATTTATACAAGCACTGGGTAAAGTCAGAAGTGCGGGAGGGTGAGAGAATTCACCTAGCCAGAACAGGGAGCAGAGCAGGCAGAAGGACCGAAGTACACTGCTGAGGGGAGCAGCGGGCGGCAGGAGAGGTCTGCGCACCATGTGGGACCCTCCTCCGGTGGCCGGGGAGCAGCCGGGGAGCAGCCGGGGAGCAGCCGGGGATCGAACCGGAACTGCAGAAGCTGAGGGCAGCTTCGCAACCCAGCGCTCAACCGCTCGCCACCGGGAAGGCCCTATAAGATTTTTTTTTTTTTGACATGAAAAATGTGTACTCCATCTTCATTTCTTGAAATGAGAAAGATGATCTAATTTATCATAACCATAGAGGCACATCTGCTTAGAGGAAATAAAATATTGACATATGATGGTCAGTAAGTGTATTCTAAAGATAGCCTCCAATCAAAAGTTATCTTAAGTGTCTTATTACAATATACATACATATACAGACACCACATAGAGGGGGTGGCACATATGTGACAATTTATTATCTGGGGGAAGATTATTCCCTTTTTACCTTCACTTTTTTAGTGGTGTTGGCTTTGGCTGAGACTGCATTGTTTTCAGGGTCACTGGGTATTTCTGATGGAGGTTAGGGATATGACGGACCCAACTAGAGACTTATGTAAGGTGCAACATTTTATGTTTTGAATAAGGCAGAGTTTAAGCAGTATTTCCTAGAGAAAGGAGTAACATAGGGCCAAACAGAACAAATAAACTGGTAAGTCAAACACAAAGGACTTCATGTTTGAGTCTTTGTGAGCAGAAGCTGAAATCTGTCTTCATGTGGCTTCCAAAATCCACAGAAAACAGAGTTCTTTGATTTTCTGAGAGTATTATTTGGTACCAGCCATTCTTAAGATAAAGAAAATGATGAAATTGTAAGGTAAAAGAAAGATTTTGTGGTAATTTCGGATTTCTTTTTTAGGATGAAATATATAAACATTTTTTTTTTATTAGAACTCAAGGAGTAATGATAACTCCATTCTAAATATGCATTTGAAAAGTTTACATCAGAAGAGTGCAAAAAAGTCACATGAAAGTTCTCTTTTAAAAAAATCTATTAGTAAGTCCTGGCAAAAAAGCTGGGGTTGTATTAAGGAAAATTGCTCATCACACTACAAAGCGTATTTGAAACCAAATTGCAGAGTATTTGCATAATAGTTCTCTTTTTTTGAGAAAGAAAAGATGAACAAGACACTAATTGTAGGTTTTATTTTTTCATAAAGGAAATAGCAGATGGCTTTTTTGGGGGATAGGGACTAGATAAAGAAAAGAGAATGTGGATTCATTTAGAGTGATGAGTGGGACGGAAAGGGGAAAAAAATCCAATATTTTAATAATGGAGTGTTGGGTTTCAATAAATTATTCTGTGTTAAAATGTATAATGTCCTCTGTTACCTATCACTGTGTGTGGGCTCTGGAAGCAATTTTGGAATCTTTGCTGCTGTCACTAGAAAATGTCACTGAAGGCCACGAAAAAACATAAGTTGATAGGTGCATTATCTATGTTTCTGGAAATAAAATCATTCTGTCTTTGTTTTCCCTTTTGGTTTATACATTTTTTTTTTGTAGGTGAATTAAAAACACTTTCTCACTGGACAAAGGGAAGGATGTAACAGGTGCTACACAGAAATCTTTAATGCAAGAACATTCTTTTTCATAATGAGGTCTGGTTTGAATAAGGACATTTTTTAAAACTACCCAGCGACTACTAAGGCAAAGACAAAAAGCACTGAAGCATGTGTGCCATTATTCTTTAGCCTGGGCTATTTGTATCTCTGTTTCTGTCTGAAGGAAGACATTTCTGTACAAAAGTAAAAGTGAACAAAGTCATTTGTCACATTAGGGTATCATTTTGTCCAACCTTCAGATGTTTGTGCCTTGTCACTTCAACCTTTTTTGTGAGTCATGAGGTTTAGTGGTTTCATAAAATGAAAACATTTATAGTTAGTGAAAACTTGCTTAAAAGAATGTTAATTCATCAAAATTTCACTGTTTCATGGTATCTATGGACCATTCATTTAATATTTTCAGCTGAAAATGGCAAAAAAAATATCTTGTATCAGGGATCAGGAAGATAAAGAGGGGGGCAGAGAAAAAGAAAAGATAGAAAATTAATGTAGATACATAAAATGGTGCTCAATGCAAAATCAGCAGATTTGTGAATACGCAAATCTGGACTCCTGTACTAGAGACAACGAAACTTAATGGTGACGACAGCAAGAAAGATAAAGATGATGGCATTGATGCAAATGATCCATAATAATGTTTTACAAACTTGCTTTGCTGCAGATGGTACCCAGATAATAAAATAAATAAAACTGCATCTGTCCTTTCATATGTAGAATAAATAATATTTACTTGTAGAAGTAGGTGAATAGCAATTATACAGGCTGAATTAACAAGCCATAGTTTAAGTTCATTCATATTGCTCAGTGGCCTTAACACTCCTTTCTGATTTCTCTTGTCATTTTTGTGGACTACCACAGTGAATAGGCTCCTTCTGATTTTCAGTCAACAATTTTCTATCTTCGTTTTACATAATTCACCCATTGAGAGGCTGTTCCATATATTTGGCGTGTACTTAACATTGTTACACATATCAAAGAACTTTGTGACAGATTCTACACAAGTGGAATTGTACATCATGTGCTTCCTCCTTTTTTTCTCCTTACCCCTAGTTTCACTGAATTGACCTCCACCATTTCTACAGTTTCCTATGTCTCTGTTATACGTTTACTTGCTTGAACATATTTATTGAATATCCACTATGTGTCTGACACTCAGATTGAAATTGGGTCTAAACTAACATGTCTTTCCTCATCACACTTTTGTTCTACTGGGAGAGAAAACTGAAAAGCAGGAAAAGCAAATAACTGTTAAAATATTAAAATTATGCATTAAATTAAGTATTAGGGAAAATTAAAGAGGGCATTTTGATAGATATTAAAATGGTGGTTGCAGGGCTACTGTAGATTGGGGATCAGGAAATACATCCTGAAATAAGAATTATGAGAAGAAACCAGTCAAAAAATAAGAAGTCTAAGAGCTTGCTAAATTTTGGAACTCTGAGAAGGCTCACATGTCTGGAATTTAGCAGGAGCTATTTGTGGCATGAGATGAAATTAGAACTCTAGGTAAGTTCCAGAGACCTGCAGCCATGGGAAGAAGATGATGTATTGATACACCTTTTAAGTGCTGATTCCTTTTCTCTAAAATGAATTTAAATACCTTAGTTTTTTTTTATTATTTTATTTCTTTTTTAAATTGAGGTAACAATGGTTACAATACTGTGTATGTTTTTGGGGACTAGTTTTCATAGTCCCTCTAAAGAAATCAGGAAGGGTTAGGAGAAGGCCAAAATTCAGTTTAAGAAGTTGCAAGAGAAGGACACGTACTGCATAAATTTGCTCTGTAATAAACAACAACCATAATAACAGTATTTAAAGCAAAGTTAATAGCATAAGTTAATGTAGATAATAGAGACCAAGAGGTACTGATGACTGCTCATAGTTAGGGCAGAGACACTTTATTGCTTATAGATTAATCATAGAAAAGTTACAGAAAGGGAATTATATCTAAGGAATGATTTATAAGAATAAGATTAGCAAGGTCCAACATGGATCTAGGAAGAACAATGAAATATGCCATAAAGATTGAAATTGCAAACATATTAGTATTAGAATAAAATATCAGTGGCTAAAGAGGCTATAGATTCTATCACTAAAGAGACAGAATAATTAACTTGCAAACCATGTCTATTACTTTCAATTTTTCTCTTTAAAAATGAAAATCAGTTTCTATAAGAGTTGTTTAATGCTAGGTTAAGCCCTATATTTAGTTCTATACATTTCTAGTTCTTAGCAAATATATTTATGGTTCCTCTAAAGCCACCTATGAAAAAATCCCATCAGGTCATAACAACTGCTACTTTTGTTTAACTGTGCCTGCTACAATGCTATTGGTTTTATATATGAACTCAATCTTGTCCAGCTGTTGTTATTATACCAATAAATTGATAATGAGACAAGTTTGGAAATATAAGCAATTTTCCAAGATCTTAAAGTTGGTAAGCAAACAAGCTGCAATACAAATCTAGTTCTTATCTTGTCTATGGTCAACACTCTTTCCACCAAAGTTTGTCTTTAGGAGGGAATGTCAGTTCATAATCAACTAAAACCAGCTGGTTTTGTGGCCTTTATTCATTATCCCAATAAGAACTATCACTGTTAACTCACTAGTGGGAATTGGAAGTAACATTCTGACAGGTGGT